GCACGGCCCGGCGCGCCGCCACAGCCCTGCCCGCCTTCCTTAGGCGTCTGTGTGTTACTCACCTATAGCCGCATGGGTTTCCTGCCGCGGCTAGCGGGGAAATTACAGCATTCACTGGCACGCGGACATAATACTGGATTAAGGGTATGCTGCTGAGAGGCGGTTTTCTTGTTGCCATAAATAAAAGTAGCCGCGTTGAAAATATTTTAATAAAGTACTTTTTGGAAACGGTTGATCTTTTTGAAAAGCCTTGATAAGTGCAGATGCACACGCGATTGCAGTCAGAGGTGGCGCCGGACTTTATAAGCCAGCAACAGAAAAGCTGTGATGATGATAAAATAAAGCGGCCCAGCCGGGATTTCCACACCACGAAACCGCGTTTCGGGGCTCTCAAACAGGTTGAAGCGGCCGGCAGAGGGCGGCGCGGCCCTGCAGGAGGGGCCTCTGCCCTCCCTCAGGTGTCCGGTAGCCTGGGGTCTGACACAACACCTTAATACACCACCTATGGACCATGCTATATAAGATACACCAGCTGCTAATACACACCTGTGTCTTAATTTGTCTGTCAACCAATTGATTAAAGGTGAGGGAAGGGGTTTATTTCCATCACTTGTAAGGGTACACTGAAGAGCTGAAGGGAGCAAACATGGCAATTTTGCTGGTTTCCTTAGCAAGAGCTTTTCTTGCTCACTTTAGGCTTGTCCTTAAGTAATGAGGCCCTTTAGGAGGGTTGTTAAGGCAAAATCATCGATTTTATCAATGATGGTAATTTATACACTCCTTGGATTCTCTCTGATTAGATAAATTACTTTCTTTGGATCTTTAGTAGTTAAAATCGTGCTAAAGACAGCATAAGAGCTATATCCAGCAATGTATATGGTGGGATACATTACACAGTCCTGGAAAACCTCCTCTCCTTGCGCTCACTGCAGATGAGCAGGGCCGTGTAGGTGGCCGTGGGTTATTCAGACAGTTGACAACTGATATGTCTGAGGAGTGTTTGCCCATCCTCTTCCCACTCTCCCCTTGTGCCCATGTAAGCGTTTTGCATCCAGAATATCCCATGGTAAGGAGTTCGCAGGTCTGACATCAGTCACACAGAGAACCTGTTGCTTGTATAAAAACAAAAGATAGCCATGAAATAAAAATTAAGAGCCAGCCTTAACATTGAGATTTTGCATTTTTACATAACTTAATACAGATTTCAGGAAAAAATCCATTGCTCACTGAGGACACTGGGTGGCACTGTGTGGTTATCAGCAAAGCCCCGAAGACACTTCAGTCAAGAACAAGGGTAGGGGAAACTACAACATGTTGCTGCTTGGCAGCATTTGTGGCCTAGGTTAGGGGTGTGTTGGTCAACAGTTACAGACTCTATGACCTGGTAAGGACCACTGGCCGTCAGCTCTGTTGCCTAGCACACAAGTTTTAAGCCTAAATCACATTTTGAATTCCTTTGTTCATAAATTATGAGAGGAAAAAAAATTTGGCCTGAATTGTTGTGCTAGGTGGTACTCCTGGAGAAACGTAAAGGTGACAGAGTAAAACATAGATTAAAGAGTATGCAGGTTTTGTCTAAGATTCAGAGTGTCCTGCAATGACCCCAAATAGATAGATTTACTTGTATTATGTTAGTGCCAGTAGTGTTTCAAATTTAGGCTGGTAATTCCCTCCCTATGAGCAGATTTGTGCATGGAGCAGATTTAGTATGGAGCACAGATGATATGTAAAGTAAATACACATTTTGTTCTCATACTACTGTGATCCTGAATAAATACGTCTCACAGCTAATCCTGGAAGTCAGGGTGGACATTTGAAAAAAAAAAGACAAGAGCTTGTTGTTCCAAATCGAACACAGTTTCTGTGTATTTTTCTAGGATTTTGCTGACAGTCAGATTTCTGACTGCTAAAAGATATAAACAAAATATTTCTTAGGCCAGGTTTTTATTGTCAAATACAGCACATTTCTGCTATGTTCCCATTAATGTGACTGAAAATATCTTCTATCCAAAACAACAATATGAGCAGTTACCAACAAATAGTTTATTGAGAAGGCTCTGTTTGGTTATTGAGGCTTTGGCCTCTCAGCTAATTACAAAATATTCAGCAAATATTTGAATTTATAACTTATCTTATTCCTACAATTTAGTGTAAATACTTGTTTAACAAATGGAGTTCACTGTTCTTAACCTCAAGGTAAAGTATACATTGCAATCTCCTTTTTGAAGATAGTCTAAAACCCAACCTTTTCTAAATGAATCAACAGTTGAAAATTATCTCTGTCAATCAGTAAAGAGAAGGAAATTGCAGTGTTGCATCTAATAGCCCCGAGTAAGACACAAACCAGCCCAGTACTGATGTTTAATTGTTCCCAACATATTACTTGTTTTTGTTGTTGTTGTTGTTTTTCTGGGGTTTTTTTGTCACGTTTAGTAGTTTTCTAGTATTTTCACATATGGCATCATATGCTCAAGTGAAAAACCTTGACTGTGATGAAGCAAGAAATTAATCCTTTGTAATATGGACAATATTGGTTTTGTTTGTTTATATTACATTTCTATTGTTTTCAGAAATATATTCTCTCTTAATTCCTCAACATGTGAATAAAGTTTAAATAACATTTAAAATGTTATGTCATGTGAAAGCAAGTGTTAAAATCAAGACTATATGATAAACTATCAAACCGTTATCCAAACCATCAAACAGCTGACTCATAGACCTGAGATATTTTCAAAAATAATTAAATGGCATAGTGTGGTTTATCCATGCAGATTTAAAAATATGTGATCTCACGTAAAAATGTGTGATGATCTTGTTTAGGAATACATTCTAGTGTAAGTGAGTGGAACGTGTAAAGAAATGGAAAGACTCTTGAGTGCAAAGCAAATGACTTCTGATTGTTGCTGACTAAGGAATTCCCTGGGCCTTTCCTTTGCGTTGCCTAGAGCGAGAGAACTATCGAACTGGAAAAAGTGCTGCCTTGCACTTTTGACCAAAATTTAAATACTGAAAGAGAAAGATGGCATAAAAAAGCTGTTTTTCTTTTTTTTTCTTTTTTTTTTTCTTTTTCACTTTCATGTTTGCAAAGCAGTTGGTTTTCTGGGATACTAGCAGTGTATTTTCAAACCTATACAAGTTTTTAATCATTTCTGTTTCTCATCTCAGTTCTCAGCTCACTCTTGACTGGCCTAGCAAAAGAGACTGTGCACATCACTCTGTATAGCTTATTAGTAGTACAAGCAGCAGAAATGTATGCTGGTGATGGTCTGCAAAGTAAAATAGGTATTTTTTCAATATTTATCTTTTTTATATATATGAGTGTGTATATATGCACTTTATGTATTATATATATACACACATACACATATATACACTTTTTATAAAAAAATAAGAAAATTCACTTCTGGAACATCTGAAAAAAATATGCAATTCCAACTGAAGTCCACTGAACTTTTTCAGCCAAAACAATAACAAATTCCCACTGGAAATGTTAAAAGGATTGGCCTAACATTTCTGAAATAGTATACCTTGATTGTTCAAGTTTGATTCATAAGAGCTCATAGCATGAGTCATAAATTGAAGCAGTAGTTTTTCCAAGATAGCTGTAAGAATGCTCTGGTATTCAAGAAGCAATTTACAAATGTAAAGACATTTCTTTTTCTGTCTTGTATTTCTGAGGAAAGATTTATAATGAATAATAGGACAACACTATTTGACAAGACAGGTCAAATAATTAACTATTTGACAGGTCAAATAATTAACTATTTGAATTGCTGCTACATTTGTATGGAGGTATGGAGATAGAGAACATGATGTATCTGATTAATAAAATGCCACTCAGCTATAGAACTGCATTAACAAGGCTCTTTGAAACAAATGATGACTCACCTTTACTATCTACTCAAAAAAAAATCTGAGAGAAAAGATAAACTGAGTTTGAGAACTCTTCCTTCTGCCAGTCACTGAAATTATTTCATTATAACCATCATCATATTTTATTTCTAAGATGTTAGATATTTTATCTCAAGATTTGCTAATAGCTATCACTGACCATACTGACTTTTACAATCTTTTATGAAACCTGAAATTCCCTCCTAGCAATGCAGGACCAAATTTCTATGCTCTGATGCCAAGTACAATTCTGAAAGAGTCCCAAAACTCTATGTACTGCAATTAGTGGAAAAAGGAGAGGGTATGTTCTGGACATTGTTAAGGGATAAAGGATGCCTGGATCATGTTACGTGGTTCACCTATCATGTCGTGAACATTGTGTGCCTGTCTGCGCTCTTGAGCGCATGTTTGTGGTTGAAGTTTGTCCGGTTATTTTGGGAAGTTCGCGCCAGTGACCCACTCACACTATATAACCTTATCACATGGAAGTCTGGCGTTGCACAGCTGCTGAAGTGGTGTCTCCAGGACCCTCTGGCCACAGCCACAGATGACCTGTGGCCTTTGAAGCAGGAAAGTCAGCTCAAGCCAGTTCAATGTCTGGGCAGCAGTGACAGGGAAATTCTCTGTCAGCCCAATGGGACCTGATGGTCCTTTCCAGTGTCCATGTTAGCAGCTGCAATGAAGCAATGATAGAAAACACCACAAGAGCACCACAAATTCTTTCCATTTTTATTTATTTAATTTTCATTATGTAGGAAACAGAACCAACCAAGGCAGGATTTGGAAGCATAAACTTCTAGGGTCATCGCTTGGAAAGAATGAAGGGTAGGCAGGCAGCTGCCATCAGTACTGTCACTGCAAAGGTGATTCTGTGCTTCAGGTTCCCCTTAAATGTCCCAGTTTCATTTTTGCTTACGTTGATAAATGCTCACGTGAGATTCTGGCAGTGTGTGGCTGGATCTCCGAACATGACAGAAACTTTCCAGTTGGCTGGGTGAAAAGATAACATACTGACAAGGAACTCTGCATGTTTCATGGCATAATCATATCCAATTTCATAATAAGGAAACATCTGGCTTTTATACAGTGCTTTTATTTTGGTTTGGTTTTTAAGAGCCAGCAAAGAAAGTTAAAGATCAATATGGCTGTACAGAGGTACCCCTGTTCATAAAGCCAGCCAGTAACAGATCTAGTAGTGAAGCTCAGCGTTCCTGAGCCCCAGTCCCACCTTTCTTCTCATCATTTAGTCACCCATGCACTGAAGTCCGAAGCCTCAGGCAACACTGCACCATCACTCATTATATTGCATAGGCCAAATGGGGACTTTCTCTGAAGAAACTCTAGCCTAAAGAGAAGACTTAGGTGCAGAACATGAGTAGAAAGATATTAACACTGGTATTTTACAGAGAGTGTACAGAAACATATACAGAAAATAATTTGCCTAGTATAAAGCCTGTAACAGAACAAGGAGCCTGTCACCAATCCTCTAGGTGTATTGAATGAGGTAGAGTACAAATGTAAACTCTGCCCCCAGGGAGATAACAGTTTTATCTAGAAACTAGTGTGTTTCAGCAAACACTAGCCCCAGACTTGCGGCAGTTTGAAAGAAACATTTCTGATCCTGTCATACTGATGGTAATTCCCCTCAAGGAAGTTTTGATCAAAGTTGTTCAAATTGACTCCTTGGACTGAGGGATGGCAAAGAGCCGCACTTCCTTTGCCTGTGAGAAGCATCATGGGCTGCTTTTTCTAGATACGCCACAGCCCAGTGTGAGTCCATGAGACTGCCTCAGTTTGCTCTTTCTCTGCCCCAGTTCTCTCATTTGCAGAATAGGGAGAATGACAGTCCCCTTTCTAAAGCACATTGAGAAAAAGTACTACACAGAAGCAATTTTTTAGTTGTATTTATTAGGCTATTGATAGTTTGTTGATAGGATAGTATTGATAGTGTATTGCTAACTTGGGCAGATCATATCCTAGGCCACTGGTAGCCCTTACACATAATTCATCAGGCTAGTGTGTCCTGCTCATTGGCCCCGTTCCAAAGCCACGTGCAAGTTTCCTTCCTCCTGCCATAGTGGAAGTGGCATCTCTGCCCCGTCCCACCTTCCTGCCTGCCCTAGGACCACCTGGCTGGAGCAGAGATAACGTGGGGGAATGGGAAGTGGCTTCTGAAAATGGGAGGAGATGGGTGCAAATTCCAGGAATATACCTCAAACCAGCAGCCCGCCCCTTCCCGCTACCTCTGGGTGTCCGCCCCCCGCTCCAGCCGGATCCTTTATACTGCAGCTCTGGTGTGCCCAGGACCATAAGAGCTTGAACGCTTTCGGCTGAGCCTGCACTTGCAGCGCGCGGTGGGCGGACGTGATGGTGCTCAGCGTGGGCAGACAGCTGCCCCTGGGGCCTCTCTTCTCCCTACTCTTTTCTACTAGCGTGGCGGTAAGTGAGGATGGAGAGGGTTAGGAAGCGTGCCCGGGCTGAAAACGCCAACAGAGAAAACTCACTGAAAATCATCTTCTTTCTTCTCTTCAGTACATCGCCACCAGAGATAACTGCTGCATATTAGATGAGCGATTTGTAAGTGTCTGAATATTTTCTTCTGTGTTAAGAGGCTGGCTAATATTTCACTGCCCTAGTTATTAACTAGCAGTCTGCTTTTGTAGCTTTATTTGAGCCTCAGTACTATTTTCTATACCTATGAAATACTCCGTGCTTTAAACCCATTATTAAGTGGCACGCATTTGTTAAATTTGCACTGGGGGTTGTGTGGTTGGTAAGAGCACATGTCCAGAAGACAGTAAAAGTAATAGCATGCACTATTTTCTCGCTATGTGTGTGTATGTGTTAAACTAAATTGTCCCTGTAAATTCAAATACTGCAGAAGAAGTGGCAAATGCCTACCCAGTTCTGTCCACAGTCATTTGTATAAGCCATGATTGCAAGTTTTCCTGCCAAAACATCCTACTGTATTTTTGCTTTGTTTTGATCTGTTTTATTTTTGTTTGTTTTGTTTTGTTTTTTTTTTCTACCCAAACATCACCAGTTATTACTCTTTCCTCTTTAGGGTAGCTTTTGCCCAACTACCTGTGGCATTGCAGATTTCTTTAATAAATACCATCTCACTATGGATAATGAACTACAGGAAATTGAGAGAATGTTGCAACAAATCACTAACTCCACAGTATCAACAGAGCAATTGATTCAACACATCCAAACCATCAATCCTCCTGAGAAACAGACACTACCAAGTGAGAATATAAAAACTAAACCATTGCACCATTGAAAAAAAAAATCATCTATGCAGTTTTGTTGTTTTTTTGTCTTCTTAATTAGTTATACTAATTTTACATCCTTGCCTGTGTTACAGATACAATTGATGGATATACTCAAAAGTCCAAGAAAATAATTGAAGAAATTATCAGATATGAAAACACTATTTTGTCTCATGAAAATACCATACAGTAGGTATCTTCTACCTTTTGTATCACAGTCAGATCATTTTCTTTCTCTTATTTTATCAACTGCAATTAAGGATTTCTCAGAAAGATTTTCTGTGCTTGTGTGGTCCATTATGCCCTTATTCTTAATAGCTGCCTAGAAAACCACAATGTGGATCTCCTATTGTATTCTTTGTTCATCTACATAACATTAATCATGCAAAAAGTGTGAGATGAGATGCGAAGGCTTGCAAATTTTTTTGGTTATATTTCATTTGCCGTGCCAAAAATTCCACATATTGATAGCAATTTTGTCTTGAAATTTGGTGATTTTATCAGTATGAGTTTGTGCTGTAATACAGAGTGGATTGAATATCTGTACAAGCACTGGCTCTGGCTAACACCTCTGCATATATCCATGCAATTCAGCTATCAGTTCCATTGATAGAAATTATCAGTAACTATAAACTCAGTGACATTCCTTTGTAAATTGACATTGCAAGTGAAGACTGAAAAGATCATTAACTTGTCCAAATATTAAAGTTTTTTGACCTGGCTGGGGCAGTAACTGCCCATCTGCATACCATTATATCAATGATGACTTAGGCCCTCTGACTGTTGCATCAATTTATTTGCATAATCTATTATGCAATATATCTATTACAAATGTATTCATGATTTAAAAATAATAATTTAGCATCTACTTCAGGAGGGCTAAAAAAACTTTCCATAGAGTTATACTCATGTATTAATTGAGCTTTGTTGTTTAGGGGGACAAAGTCAAGTCAAATTTTGCATCAGCTCAAGTACACACTTTCCTGTTTTGACCAATTGCGAACAAAGTATTGAATACAGGGCCAGGATATTCAGAGGGTCAAACTTTCGGACCAAACAATAGATGACAGCAGAAAACTCATTTTCTCCCAGACATTTAGCCAAGGGGGGCACTGAGGGCTGTAGCACCTGCTCTACTGCTTGTAGAGGAATGTGAAGGCACTTCTCTGCCTGGTGGTAAATGCAGCAGCTGCTTCCCTTTCTTTGGGATTTTCTCAGCTTTGAATACCAGTGCTAAAAACAAAGTCCTTTTGGAATAACATGCTAAGTAAGTAAGGGGAAAATGTTCTGGAAAATGTTTATGATTGTTGGTAAGAAACAGCTGAAGCAATGAGCCATTTTTACATCTCTGCAGGCAGTTGACAGATACACATATAATGAACAGCAACAAGATCACACTGCTAAGACAGAAGATTGCTCAGCTTGAAACACAGTGTCAGAAGCCATGTCAGGATAATGCTGAAATACAGGAGACAACTGGAAGAGGTGCACAAAATACTTTTTCTATGGTGGAGGGATAATTCAGTTACAAGTACTGCCAGCACTATCATTGTGCTGAGTTATTTCTAACCCTTTGGGCCACCGATTTCTTCAAAGATGTATGAGATTGCAAGCTATGCCACTTGCACGTGGATCAGCATGTGCTAGGTAGATGCTCTGCAAAAAGGATATTCAGTTGGAACAGAAGTTGTGCTTGTTCCTTTGACCTAGTTGGTCAAAATATGGCCAGCCCAAAATGTTTGCTGTGCGACAGGGAGGGGAGGAGAGTTTTTGTGGACATAGGGAAGAGAGAATTATCACATTTCTTCAGTTACCTGAAGAAAATGTAATTATGCCATTAGCTCCAAACATGCCATTTTCATTGCTGTAGAAATAAATCCAGTGATAGCTTTTTGTATTTAAGCTGCTTAAAATGTATGTGAATTTAAAGTCCTGCTTACCTTACACAAGTCATGTGAACTTCAGGATTTTTATGGTTAAAGTATGTATGTCTTATATAGACTAAATAGCTATTTTTACAACTATGATATTTAGATGAATTGTGCTTCTTGCACTAAGAATGTTGTAAGATCAAATAGATAGTAAGATAGGGCAGTAGCTAGATTAATAACTTTTTTTGAATATCTTCACTTTCAGATTGTCAAGATATTGCAAATAAAGGTGCCAGAAAAAGTGGTCTTTACTTCATCAAGCCTCAAAAAGCCAAGCAGATGTTCCTAGTCTATTGTGATATTGATTCATTTGGCAATGGGTGGACAGTATTACAGAGGGTAAGTTACAGAGGGTTTAGTAACAGGAGCAAGCTTGTTGCTTCAGTACTGTGTTAATTTACTTACATGTGATATATGTAAGTATATATGTGATATATGACATTTTTGTTGACATTTCTTTTTTTCACCAGAGACTGGATGGGAGCGAGGACTTCAGGAAAAATTGGGATCAGTACAAAGCAGGATTTGGGCATCTGTCTCCAGATGATAGCACAGAGTTCTGGCTGGGCAATGAAAAGATTCATTTAATAACCACACAATCTAATCTACCATACACCTTACGAATAGAACTGGAGGACTGGAGTGGCAAAAAAAGGTAATGAAGCTTCTGAAAGTAACCACTTAAAACACACTGTTGTGTCAAATCATATAGATTTCTGGAAAAAAAAATGGCGCACTTATATCTGCTAATATATATGCATAGGAAACTTCATCGGTTCCTGAATGCACAGCTGTGACTGTAGTCACTGCACGTGACTTTGCTGCCAGACTTGTGCCAGCATGTATAAGGCCATGCACTGGCAGCCCTAGTTTATTTGGCAGAATGAATTCCTTTCTTCCTTTCAAAGTTTCTTCACATCTTAAATGGAGCAGTTAGGTTGTTTCTGTTTTCCAGGAAGCTATCAGGTCCTGCTGTCTTTGATAGTTCTTGAGATACCTGTTCCTTTTTGCAATTGTGAATTTCCTCGTAAGCTAAGTAAGCCTAAACAGCATAAGCTTGTGCTATATGGATATGCATATATAACATAGATCTGTCATACACTACTGAGTAGTAATCAGAAAATGTGTCTAATACTGAAGTCCAAAAATTGAGGTATGCAATCTTATGAAGAACAGCCCATTTTCAAAATTATGTGCTAGGATGGCAGAAATGCCTTTCCTGCAGTGCATTGCCTATGTACTTTTCAATCATGAACGTGCGGATGCAAGATGCTCGCATTCACCATTGTTCCCTGTTAACAGCACTGCTGACTACGCAGTATTCAAAGTGGGAAGTGAAGAAGACAAATACCGTTTGACCTATGCCTACTTTATTGGTGGTGATGCTGGGGATGCCTTTGATGGCTTTGATTTCGGATCTGTAAGTGACAAAGCATCGACCTACCATAATGGCATGCAGTTCAGTACCTTCGATAATGACAACGATAGATTTGAAGGCAACTGTGCTGCGGAAGATGGATCTGGATGGTGGATGAATAAATGTCACGCTGGCCACCTCAATGGCAAATACTATATAGGTAAAATACCTCTTTTTGCATGGAAAAAGTAAAATAGCAGTTCTACATGACATTCCAATGACAGCGAGAAACGTGTCACTTCCATTGTGTTATGTGTAGCAGTCGGGTTTCCCCAAAGCTGGCACTGCTCATTTTAGCAATAACTATCAATATGAATACCAGTCGTAAGAACCACTGGCTGTCCTTCAGTCTCAAGGGGGAGAATTGGTCCTGACAGGAGAAAACTGGTGGGACAGGGGCAGGGAGTAGGGCCTTTTGGTGAGCCCAGAGATACCATGGAGGTGTCAAGCACCAGAAAGGTGCACAGACACATTAATCCTTTCAGAAACCAATTAAATATTTTGCTACAACTGCTATTTTTAGATGGTGTGTACACATCTGAAGATGCTGGACCGGCTGGATATGACAATGGGATTATCTGGGTAACATGGCGCAGCCAGTGGTACTCCATGAAGAAAACTGCAATGAAAATCATCCCGTTCAACAGACTGTCAGTAGAGGGACAGCAGCACAACTTAGGCAACACCAAACAGGTTCGACCACAGGGCTGGAGAGATATGTAAAATGCTAATCTAACAGAGTTATTGTTTCAAGTTATACAGCATATACAGTTGATGTGTTATGCCCACTGTATCTTAGATAAGTCAGTTTTGTTTACTATTTTGTCACAGAAATATCAGTAGTTTTGTTTTAGTATACCTACCTCATTACTGTTGCTTTTAACTGACAAAAGCATACAGTCTTATGGTCAGAAATAATTCTTTGTCTTCATGTATTCTACATTTTTAATTTCCAACTAATCTAAATATGTAGGATGCCATTAACGTATCATAGCCTTAAATAGTCCACCTTTTTTTTTCAGAAGAAAATTATTATGTTCTCTTTTTTTTTTTCTGTTGCAGGTTGGAGACGCATAAATAGACAATTTAACAAAGACTTATCTAAACAGGGAAAACAAATCTAGTATCTGTGGAACACTGACCTTATTCAGCTGAGTTTTGACCATAAAACACCTTTGTAAAACGTCCAAGCCTTTTCCCTGTGCTGGCCATTACTTACCTCTGTATATCATTATTTTTTTCTGTACCAATTCTCAATAAATTTTTAGTTACTACAAAATTCTGAACTTGCTTTTTATGTTCTACCGTTGGCCAGTAAACTTCATCATGTTTGGAAGGTTACCCTGATCAAATCTGCTTGATTCACTTACTCCTGAATTGCACACTGGTAGTTTCTGCTGTTTGATTAAAAGTGTGCGTTGGAACTATTTTCCATAAGTTTTGCTTATTTCCAAGAATTTTCATTCTATTGATGATGAAATTGTTGATTTGTGGTATAGATTAAAATACCAGCAAGCTGGAATGGATCTAGTTTACCGCTGAAGGCCACACAACTGAGCTAACCATCAAATAATGCATATATATTGAATCAGTATATGTTAGGAAGTACCCTGTCATGACCAAGAATACATATTTTATTCTAGAGTGTAGAAAATTACGATTTTCTCAAATATGAATCAGAATAAAAGTCCCAAGTCCTAGGTCTGCTACCTGGTACATACTACTAGATTGGACCACTGTAGTAGTAATACGCTATACAACTATTATTCCTGAATACCACATTTTATCACAAATATTTAAAAGTAAATAGAATTTGACATTTTTAGTGTCAGACGAAAAATGTTGAAGTTTTCACTAGCAATTCATTGCATTCTACTTGCAGTCTCTTTTTCTAAATAACAATTTATTCATAACAAATAATTCCATGAGATTTACATGAACAAGCTCATAGCACATATCAAGAAAACCAAGGAAATTTGTGTGTAAGGGATACATTAACCAATTAGATCAGGCCTGCGGGTAAATTGCTAGACAAAAAAATATGTTCAGAGCTAGAATAGGCAGGCTATTATACTTTTCAACACATCAAGTATAATGCATACACTAAGAAATAAATACGACGTTTTCAAATCTTTGTTGCTAGTTACTATTGAGAGGCCAGAGGTTTGCCTGGCATTTCTGAACAGCCCATTGGCATGGCTTATTTTAAAGACAGGGTGGTGTTACACTAATAAGACATGTCTTAAAGACAATTTAAGCCCCTTTGGCTCTTCCTTGTTCTCTTGTCCAAGATAGGCCGTGGCTGGGCCTCTTTCCTTGAATCTATCTCAGAGTCTCCTCAATAGAACAAGCTGCTGCTTTTGCATCATTTTTACTGAGGTGGTTTGGCTTTCATTGAATTTTAAGCTGAAGTGTAAGAGAAAGGCAGGTATGTGAGGAATTTGTCAGAAGACAATATAAGACATTCCTAGCAAAGGGCCACCAGCACTGTGTTAACAAAAGTTTGGGTGAGGGACAAGAGGACATGCTCAGCCTCGTGTTTGCGTGGCTCTATTCCATCCATGTACGCAACCATGTCACATGGCTCAGTACCAGGCCGGACATCCTAGTCCTACCAGGCGGAGCACTGTTTTCCTAAATATTTTACGTAGTTAGGCCTCTACCATGATTCCTTGTAGCTGGAGAGAAATGTGAGGAGAGGCATGTGAGAAAGATGGAGAGCTGGGAGCTGACAAGCCTGGAGTCCAAGATGGGTTCTGCAAGTAGCCAGCTGAGTGGCATTGACCAAGTCACTTTCCCTTTCTCTTTTCATTTTATCCCATCTTTGACAAGACTTTAAGGTTGGAGTTGTTTCTATGCTTGCAACAGTGGAATTGAAAAGTACTTTGACTTGTATGTCCAAATTCCTCCAGTCTCGAGAAGCAGGTTTCACTGTGTCTCTTCACATTTAGCTTTTGGTTGCAATTATTTATTCGATGAGTGTCACGGAACGGGTGCTGGTGGAAGTGAGTGACACAATGCACTTCACTCGTGGGAAAGAAATAGGAATAGGTTTTATTGGTAATGACAATGGTTTCATGAGATTCTATGGCAAGGTCACTTATTAGTTACTGCATGGAGATTCAAGATACACACAGGATTACCAAGGACACCCTCCCGTTGGGTCATGAGGTTCAGATTGGACCCCCTCGCTTTCCAAACTCCTTCTGAGAGGAGTCTGGGTGCAGCTGGATCCAGTCCTAGTCCCAGACCTGGTCAACGGTTTAAGGGATTTGTGCACAGTTACAAGGTAAAATTTACAAGTTCAAAAAGGGAAGGGCGCGCTATAGTCACTTACCACACATCTGTAGTGGGAAGGATCTCTTAACCTCGAGGAGTATCCCTGAGAGGCGTCCCTGCTCAACAGGAGATCCTGGTGTGCAGCTCGCTGCCATGGAAGGAGAGCTCAATGGGCTCTTGGGCTGTCCCCATATTTATGGGATAAGATGATTGATGATAGTCATGAAGATGATAGTCATTCTTTCCATTCAGAAATGACTGTTGGCTGGGGTAGTCACAGTTAGCCTTATCTCCCCATCAGGTTAGCGCCATCAGGACTGTTATTGATGGTTGATGTCTGGGTGGGGGAAGAAATCAGGGAGGCAAACTGCCAGGATCAGATAATGTGGTCTTTAACACCTGAATAGGGCTACTTGTGAGAAGTCAGGTTGAGCTGGGGAGGAGCATATCCGTCACAATCGGAAACCACCTTAAATATACACATAATATACACATTTCTTTCATGTGAGTTGTCATTTTACAGGTTGTATGCAAGAATTAAGCTTGCTTTATTCTCCCAATTGATGTGTTTTTTGGTGTCTTAAGGTCTCACAAATAATTCTGAGTCTCTTCAGAGAGAATGATCTGCTTCCGAATTCTGGAAAGTCAGATCAAATCAATAAGATTGATCTTTCACAGGCTTCCTATGCCAGAGCTCAAAGAGAGTCTGTAGGGTCAGAGCCTACAGCTGTATTCCCTGGGTTCCTAATGAAGACTAGCAAAAGTCTAAAAATAGTTTGAGATCTGTTTCTTCTGAATCTCAGGCAACTCAGTGCAGTTTTTTTTCAAGTAAGTATTTTGACTTATTGGCCATAATTTGTATTCTGAGAGGTCTTGTTTCTCTTTTCTAAGCCTGTCTTTACTGTAGACGACTCTCAGAGCACAACCTGTAGTAATTAGAACAAGTCTGCCCCCACTATGCCCCCACTTTTATAAAAGTTTGTTACAGGAATTGGTAGCTACAATGAGCTTGCCTTTCTTTTACACCTGGTACTTGCTGTCACTCTTCCTATTTGCCAAGGATCACCATAGCATCAAAGAGAGGAACCAAGAACAGCAATACTCTTTTGCATGCTAAGTACTCCTGTGCTCCCTCTAACATGAAGCAGATCACCCTAAAGCAAAAAAAAAAAAAAAAAGAGAGAGAGAATGCAGAAAGAGGCACATAAAGTGGTCAGAGTAGAGGACTTGCTAGGTAAGGAAATTAGGACTGAGAGTGGAGAGAGAAGAGTTTTATCAGTACTGACTGGCCAGCAGGCAAGAAGGCAGATAGGAGAGAAAGGATGGTGCAAAGATGGAAAACATTAACATTGATGTGCTGATAGGAAGCTGACGCCTCCATGGATGTTGGATGGGGAGATGTGGGACCAGATGCTGACATTGGCTGGTAACAAATCCCAAAGAGATAAGTAGGCTGCGAGGCACATGGAGAGAAACTGGAGCTGAGAGATGGGCCTGGAGGAGGACAGAGACTAAGACAAAGAATCCAGAGGAGGAACAGGAACCAGCAGATGAGAGGAGGCAACTCTAGGCAACTGGCAATGAGAATTGATGATCAAAGAGGAGATAGGGACAGTACTGAGTCAACAAGAACTATGTATCTAGGATGCATAAATCAGAAATAAATCGCAGCCCCTCAACTATCATTGTGGCAAACTGCCAAGAGTAAGGCAGCTTGAGTAGTAAACTCCTTTAATCATGAATTAAAGTTAAACCTGAAGTTTATCTAGCTCTTACCCTTTAATCTTTAAAACAAACATACAGAGAAGTGGATGATTGCGACATGAAAGCAAAGGTACAGGCTGAAGGTCGGGCCTAGATCCAAGTCTAAAACTGAAAGACTGAGGAGCTCCTTTTTTACCCCAGATCCACTCTGCAATCCCCTTCAAATGAAGCAGGAGAGCTTTCTTTACTTACCTAGTGTTTATGATTGTGGTTTCTTTTTGGCTTTTTCCAGTCCTCTGGTGACCAAATTTTAATGGGATCTGAGCCTAACCGAGTTTTCTATGTTTGAAGGCAAGCAGAGAGTTTATCCTTCCGGCAAGGTCTAAGGAGGCCTGGCACATTTTGCTACAGTGTCAGGTCTTATACTGTAAGCCTGTATATGTGAAGCCAGCTAGCAAATTGTCTCATCCTCTCCTCGTGTGGTTGATATGCTCAAATTGCAAGCACCCAGGCATCCACACAGTGGTATTGATTTTCAAACAATATCCTTGATTTTTTTAAAGCCTAATAAATTATAGACAAATATAGACAGTGTTAGCGATCACAAAACTAAGCTTTCAGAAAGTTAGAAAAAGACAGAAGTAAGGTGATATGTGTCACCTGAATTATGTTTATATATCCATTATGGTTCAGTACCAAAGATTGCCTAGTTTTAAACCTGTTTTTTTGTTTGTTTGTTTTCCTGCTGCATACTTGCCTAAGCATGTTTGGGAGTGGAGACTGGTTACAAGACCAGTCAAGGATGCATTTGACTGAAATACATGCAGTGAGTAAGGGAAGACAGAGCACAATTTTAGCTTACAACTAAAGGTTACCCTGCAGAATTAGATACTATTCCTGCCCTTGTCACCATGTTCTTGTGGGACCATGGGCAAGATGCTCAGGCTTTTCAGAGCTGGCTGCTTAATATTGATTGGTCAGAATTGATCTCCCAGATTTTGGGGTGCATGTGCATGATGTCCTTTCAGTTTAGAAGCTGCCCTATGTACATTTATCAAACAAAACAACCCTGGCTAGCTGCTGATCATCAAGCTGAGCAAAGGTAACCTGGAGCCTGATTGGATATTTGTCACCAAATAAGTGCTGGGCTATTTTGTTGCTGAAATCAGAAGACGTTGTTTGCATCACAACATTACCAGCACGGCATGGGATTTAATAGAAATTTTGCAGAGCATGCTCTGGGGAAAGAGGTGAATGAAAAATCTTGTTTCAGAATGTGCAATAGATAAGATTATGCATAAAATAAAATAGAAACCTCTTTTCATGCAAAAACAGATTCTGGTGATGTAGGTGTAAGTGATTTAAATCGTACAGCACCATTTTACTGAGCCTTTCTGCTTTCTGCTACCTGGGAATATGACCCACTATTTCTGAGATCAGCACAAATGCTCTTAAGTTTAAAAGGCTTTTCCCAGGCAGGAGAACAGGACCAGCATAAAATGCAAAGCCAAAAATGGGAGACACAAATGCTTCAGTCAAACTTCAGTGAGCTTTATGGGGAGAGGGAACTAGATTTTTGCAGGCAGAAAGCAAGAGGAAAATCAGAAGCAGAGGAAAGGAGGATAAAAGAAAACATAAGGGGCTGCTGGAATGGATCCAAAGCTAGATTTTTTTTTTGACTGATTATGTTGTACCATGCTAGAGTCAAGTTTAAAAACACCATTCTAGGTCAGACTCTGATATCATCTTGCAACCCGTGGATGATGGAGAGTTAGCAAATCTGATGTTGTTTTAAAAAGCCAAGCAAGAGTGTTGTCCTTTCAACTGCTTAGTCTCTCATGTGCCTAAGCAAAGATCTGCTTGCTCATTTCTGCCCATAGTGGTGGCAAATTCCGCATGGGCAGCAGTTTCAGGTGTTTGACAGCCAAGAGCAATATTCCCCAGGAACCATGCAGTTTGTTAGAGATATCACAGCAACAGCAGTAGTACATTACCAAATGTCACATTCAAAATGAATGATCACTTTAAGAAGATTTAAATATCCTTTCCATTTGTAAATGTTGCACCCTACATAGGGTTTGGCTCCAGAGCTGGATACATGTTCTAACATCTGGAGTGAGCGCTGCAGTTCTCAGGAATAAATTTATATTGATGGCCACTTGCTCACAGATAGCCTGAATTAACAGTCTAGTACTTGCTTTGGTGAGCCCAAGGAACTTCACATCAATGGTACGTAGTCATGCAGGAAGGACAGTGACTCTTCAAAACCTGCCTGGATGCCACCCTGTGCAACGTGTTCCTGCTTGAGCAGGGGGGTTAGACTAGATGATCTCTAGAGGTCCCTTCCAGCCTCAACCATTCTGTGACTCTGTGATTCTGTGATTGTATTGGCTAAATATCAAGAACATAGAGTATGTGTCTTTGAGCTGGAGCCTATTAGATCCTGTATACACCCTAGTTCAACATCCAGTTACCAGAAAGTAAGTTTTAGGCAGATTTTTTACTGGAACACATGGCGTTGCCCATGTTGGTCATCGGGAGTAAATAACTCCGGTAAATTGTGCAAGAGACATTAGGTAATAACCTGGGGGCATCTGGCATGTTTTGTCTGCAAACAACAAAGGACATAATGATTAATCTCAGCTCTGCATTCAGGTTTAAATTGCACCAAAAGACAGGTGGAAAGCATCCTCTCAGGCAGAGTTCTGGTCGCTCTTCTCCCGACGATGATACCAATGAGGATTCTCTGCATGTTTCTGTGCCTCCGCATAGCCTGGGTATGAGCTTGTTTGCTTGATTCTTTTCATGTCTTGCTGATTAGAAGAATGCACATTTATTTAATGTTTATTGATTGGGTAGATGCAATAGGTAGAACACAGGTGTTCTAACAAATCACAGGAATTACAGGGAGCAGATATGACAAAAGTGGTTTTACTGCTGCTATTGATGCTGCTGAGAAAGGCAAAGATTATATAAAAGCAGATCTTTTAAATACTATGTAAAAGTAAAGCTTTAGCTTGTTGCTTTTAGTGACTGCTTGGCTCAGATCCTCAGGATGAATGAAGCCAGCATGGATCTAGGAGTCATACCAGTGCCGTGCCGGTTCCTGATGGCTGAAGATCTGTCTCTAAGGCTAGGGTTAGGAGACCTGTCTCAGAATTAACCACAAATCCTCTCAAACATTAATTGTGATGCTTGGAATGCAGATAAAGTGTGCAGAAGATACCAGTTAGACCCAGTTACATCTCATGTTCTGACAAAGTCTCCCTCACCATTTGAAGAAGGGAGTATTTTCCTTTGCTGAATAACAACACAGCAAGGACTCTACAATGTTTTGGGTTGGGATTAGTTTGTATACATGTACTTTAGCCTCTCAAGTTGCAAGAAAACCTCAGGATTTATCCTCTTTTCTATTAGCACAGTACAATCCTGTTATCCTTATTAATTTTATAGCTGATGCTATTACCTCCCTTCCTCTTGAAGGCAGGTGATACCATGCTTCAAGCCGATAGATAACTGCAATTGAAACTGGAAACACGAAGGGGACAAGCCTATGCATGTATTCTTCCAAGTCCAGCTCTGTGCAGACTGAAGGCAACGGAATTAAATTAGGGACCAAGGGATATAATAGCAAATGTTGATAAATGCAGGAATTGCAAAATGCCTGAGCTATGGAAATGAAGCTAATGCTTCATTTTTGCGGAGTAGGGGTTGGCTGGTGTGGGCTGCACCTCCTTGCGATCTCGTATCATTAACCTCCACCTAACTTCCCCGCAGGCACAGGCGGGCGAGAGCGCCTTCGAGAAGGAGGGCGGCGGGGTGCGCGGCCCCCGCGTGTCTCTGCCGATGGCGCCGGCCGCCTGCCGCAGCGACAAGAGCTGGCCCATCTGCGCCGATGACGACTGGGTGAGCACCGCGACGCCTCAATGTTGAGAGAGCCGTTGGCTTCCCCGGGGAATATTTTGCTTACCTAAGTTGGCCTCCAGCATCCTTGTCCAAACTTGACAATGGAGTTATCTTTACTGCAGCCTTTGTGGATTTATTATTATTATTATTATTTTTAATTATTATTATTTCACTGAGGAAAGGGAAAATTAAAGGCTTGTTTGTCCCATCCCCTTATCACAAGCTTCTACTGTAAACACTAATTCCTTCGCACCACTCTTAGCAGAGTGCCAAGCGATACAAATCAGCCCCAACATGAACTGCTCTAAATCACAGCAAAGCCCTTGGAGGTACCAGAGAAAATATCTGAAGAGAAGCAGTAGGATCTTGCCCTATAGTTTTTGAAAAGGGTTTTCAATTATGCCCCCAAAATCGGTAAACATGATGTTAAGAAAGCTATACTCATTCAGATTTCAATGAGTATCTCCTCCAATTTCAGGGCACAAAATGCCCATCCGGCTGCAGAATGCAAGGACTCATCGATGAGACTGACCAGGATTATAGTCACAGAATAGACAAAATTAAGAAGCTGCTTGCAGATAACCAGAACAACTACAAAACATCTAATCGGGTAATTGTGGAAACCATAAACGTACTAAAACCAAACCTGGAAAGTGCCCTGCGTAAGTATCTCACACCCAGTGTTATTGACTGTTGCTAAAATTCCATGTTTTTGTGTGTAAGCATTATTTAGCGAAAAAAAATTGCAATGGACTTTATATTCAAAAGTAGAATAATGAGCAATTTGAGACTTTTAACTGGTAAAAACAAGTGTAAATTTACCTGCTCAGTATTATGAGAAAATAAGAAGTATGTTCTTAATAGTAACATGTTTTATTTATTTATTTTAAAATATGCTACTATCTTAAGAGAGAAAAATCACACATGCTGGTGGTGATGTGTTTCAGAGCTTGATGAGAATTATGGTCGTGTGTCAGCAGAACTGAGAAGGAGAATTGTGACATTAAAGCAGAGAGTTGTCACCCAAGTAAACAGAATTAAAGCTCTGCAAAACAGCATCCACGATCAGGTGACAGAGATGAAGCGCTTGGAGGTAGGTGACTGCTGTGTCATTTCTACTGTTTCCAAAGTCTGTCTGCAGAAACAGGGTCTATCCACTAAAACATACAGGCTGAGCATTGCTCTGTATGGAATTAAAAAAAAAAAAAATCTCCCAGAATCTGGCTAGTTGGAATTCCCGAATGAGTTGCTCTTTCTGTGGGGCTTATTTTTCTTTTCCTGCCGCATGGGAAGCAGTGGGACCTCCAGGACAAGGGTCTCTCAGCAAGGCCCTGACAGGCTCTGCGGCACTTGCACTCACTCCCCCACTCCTGGGAGGGACAATTTTTGCCCCCAGGCCTCAGTGAGCAAACCCAGATCCACGGTACTCACAGCAAACCCAAGAAAACTCCCTTATTCCTGGAGAAGTAAAGGGAGCAGAAATTGGGAATATGCCACAGCTTTCTTGTCCATGTCACCTGCTTTGCGCTATCTCACATACCATATTTGTGGTGAAAATGAACTAGAGGAAGACTGCAAAACTGAGCTTTGGAGAAACTCAGCTGTAGATGGCATGTATCAGTGCACCTGCCACCTTTCCCAAATCCATTTCCAGGATACCTTTGCTTGAGAAGGTCAGGAAAGCTTCCTAATCAAGCTATTTCTCTCTGTTTATGTAGGTGGACATTGATATTAAGATACGAGCTTGCAAAGGATCTTGTGCTAAAAGTTTTGATTACCATGTGGACAAAGAAACCTATGACAACATCCAGAAGCAGCTTACCCAGGCCAACTCCATCGACTTACACCCAGAGATTCAAACGACTACTCTGAGCATTCTGAAAATGAGGCCAATAAAGGACGTAGATGTTCCTGAGCATTTTAAGCATAAGCCTCTACCAGAAATGCAAGCTCTGAACTTTATTAATGACATCAGGCAGGTGGAAATGACATTAGAAAGATCAGAAACAGACGCAAGTCCCTCCCGAGGCGATAGTGCGCATCACACAGCACCATCCAGGGGAGATGGACCTTCATACCCTAGCGCAGTAGTCCCTTCTGTGCACGGGAGAGACAGCCCTAGTCTGGGACATGGAACCTCCACTGTCCATAGATGCACCACCAGTGTCACTAGGAAAATTGTCAGTGGCCCCGATGGCCCTAGAGAAGAAGTAGTTGAAAAACTAGTTTCTTCTGATGGCTCAGACTGCTCCCATTTACAAGGAATGGGAGAATTTGAAAGGGAAGGGAGTTGGCACCATGTTAGTGAATTACACAAGCTTTATCCTGAGCTAGGGTCGTTTTTTGCCCCTGGGTCTTCAGTTACTACTACTAAGCTTACTGGTGGGTCTGCCAGCACTTCATCTGGCAGCTATGGAACTGGCACAGCCAGTGGTCACTTAGGTAGTGGAACAACTAGTCATTCAGGGGGAAAAGACAGATTTACAGACATAGGAGAAGAGGAAGATGATGATTTTGGAAGACTTCACCTTCAACCTGGATTCTCATCAAGCAGCGCAAGTCACTCCAAAGTAGTGACCAGCTCCTCTTCTAGTTTCAACAAAGGAGGCTCCACTTTTGAAACCAAATCACTAAAGACCCGTGATGTAACTAAGGAGCTAGGTGGGGTGCAGCATGATGAGAGTGCAGAGGATATGCCAGACTTGCGGGCCCGCAGCTTCAGACACAGAGAAATAACTCAAAGGACAGTCGACACTGGGAAAGGTACACTTATACATCAGAGAGATCCATAATCAAACTGACACTTTCTTTTTAGATATGGCCATAAGTCAGTGTGATGAAAGAAAAAAAAAAAAAGGAAAAAAATGGTGTCTGTTGCCACCTCGAAAACAAAAAGAAAAATGTGTTATTAATAGATCAGTTAGTACATGACAATGTCATCTGCAGTTTAAGAAGTATGCAAAATATATCTGAATTCTTTTAATGTTGCCTGTCACTATGTCTAACATAGTCCAAGACATGTTAAACAAATTTTCCTCAGAACTATTGCTACTTGGATTCCTGTGAACCTTTTATTAAATTTTACTGATAACTCCTGTCAAACCAGATCAACTTTTTTTTTTAGACTGTGATGATATCCGCCAGAAACACACTTTTGGTGACAAAAGTGGCATTTTCAAAATCAAGCCAGCGGGATCCAATAAGGTTTTGTCAGTTTATTGCGACCAAGAGACCACCTTGGGAGGATGGCTATTGATCCAACAGAGAATGGATGGATCAGTGAATTTTAACCGGACCTGGCAAGACTACAAGAGAGGTTTTGGAAGCGTGGATGGCCAAGGTCGAGGAGAATACTGGCTGGGCAATGAATACTTACACTTGCTAACTCAGAACAAGACTGTCCTTCGTGTAGAGTTGGAGGACTGGGATGGAAATGCTGTGTATGCAGAGTACATCCTACAGGTAGGGTCTGAGTCGGAGGGCTACCCTCTTGCTGTGTCCTCCTACGAGGGGACTGCCGGGGACGCGCTCATCGCCGGCTGGCTGGAGGAGGGCACCCAATACACGTCCCATGCCCAGATGCGCTTCAGCACCTTTGACAGGGACCAGGACCGCTGGGAGGAGAGCTGCGCAGAGGTGTACGGGGGCGGCTGGTGGTACAACAGCTGCCAGGCGGCCAACCTCAACGGCATTTACTACCTGGGCGGCCACTACGATCCCAGATACAATGCTCCCTACGAGATCGAAAATGGGGTGGTCTGGATGCCGTTTAGAGCCTCTGATTATTCCCTCAAGGTTGTTAGGATGAAAATCAGGCCCACAGAAACCCTGTAGAAAGGCAGACTTTTAATATATATGTTAAGACTACAAGATTAGAAGCCCTTTTATATATATGGGTGCGTGATGTATCCTTGAAGGCAGCTTGACACACTTGTGGCTTAAAAAATAAACACTGTTTAATTATTAAAATAGTTCTGTCATTTTCTTTTTAAATGCCAAAGCTTTTCATGAAAATGTTGATTTTAAAAACCTTGTCTGCAACCTTTGTATATATGACTTACCTAGACTTTGGTAAACGGGTCTCTGATAGATGCAATGTTTCCTGCCAGCATATTTTACACGTTTCACTTCAAGGATCACACACAAAATGAATATCCCTAAACTGCCTAACACACCTAGATAAGCAAATATTCCAAAAGTGGAAGTGAACTCATGAAAAATAATATGTTTTACAGTGATTTTTAAAATACAGCTTGTATGTATCTTGATCGTGATTGGGAAAGAGACTCTCGGGTATTTTCCTTTTGGCAATTGATAGTAGGTCTCCTTCCTAAATCATTAGTGGCATCAGTGGCCTGAAGAAATGAATAAATCAGCGTGACTAGTTGCGGAGTTCTTTGCAGCATGTCAGCTGGAGAAAATCTCTTCACAGCCTGGATTTCTGCTTAATAACATTTGCCAAACTTACCCACTTCAGCTGTGGAGAAAAATCTAAAACCTAGCAATACCTTATAAAATTTAATCTCTGTTCTTTTTTTCAAGATTTAAATTTTAAAATTCACATTTAAATTTTAAAATTTAAATGACAGTCCTGCTCCTTCTTCCTGAGCACTGAAAATCCATTTTATCCTCTCGAGTTTAATCCGCATTAGCATCATAAGAGATGATGCAGATGTTCCTAATGCATTTCATTCTTTAATGCGAACACATGAGAGAAACAGGGATCAAGATCTGGTCGTACAAAACAACCTGTAAGGAAAGATCTCTGTTTTAGAAGAGTAAACAGATACACACTTGAAACATGTCCAAGTTTAGATCTTTTCCATACAAAGGTACTGTTTTTACCGCATCATTTTATGCTACACTTTCTGAGTTGAGATCCATATTTACAAATTTCAGTTAACTTGCCTTTTTGTGAGGAATGAACAAGGGATTCCTATTGCAGCATTTCCTCAGCTCCTACATTTAATAACTTACCAGTATTTCTCCTGTACCTTAACAGTTCATTTTCTAGACTGATCAGCCCAGTCTGTTTAAATCTTTCACAATAAAACATTCTGTTTAAAAATTGGATTTCCTCCTAGTGAAAACAATGCAAAAAATGCTAGCAGCAAATGCCTTGACTTGAGATCAAAATACTCAGAATTTAATTGGTTTACATTCTTTAAGAGCCTTAAAGAAGTCACAAATTTAGAAGTACATTTGAAAGTCTTCTCAAATTCAAGTGGTTTGGATTCTCTTTCAGTCTTTTCCACATATCCAGAATATTTTTGTTTGATAAACAAAACATGCACTTTAGGACTGGCTTGTAAGTGGGAACTGATCTCCTAAGCTTGTAATAACAAATACAGAAGCAAACCTTTCATCCTTTTGATGGATTCTAGGTAGTTCACCATATGGCTTCAAAATAAGACAGTTCATGATAACTGACCAAAATATAGCTCCCAAAACAGGCTTATTTGAGAGCAGAGTTTGATTAAACAAAGTAAAATAAAACAAAAGAACCCAGACTCACTTCCTAGAACTCCCAGATTCATCCACCTAGATTTGTGCTGACCTGTCCAAGGTTATATTAAGAGATTGGCATTTATTTTACAGTGACCACTAAAAAGTTGACTTAAACAGTATAAATTAGGTGCATCTGCGTGGCAGTGGTATGTTATTCTTGCTTTTAGAATGTTTCTCCTCACATGCCATATAAGGATCCACATGTCGATAAAGATTTTACATCAACAACCCGCATATATGTGTCTGCTACAGGCCACCTGACCAA